AAAATCTTAAAAATGTTGATTCAAGTACTGAAATGGAACATGGCTTCACTTTTTGATCAGTGCAACCAATTTTGTTATTTTTATTTTAAATACATGATATAGTGCATATGGTACCACTAAAACTTCTATTATTTTATTAGTTTGTTTTTGCACCAAGCAAAATTTTAGAAAATCCTTAGCATACACATTTTATACTTGGGAAGGATTTAGCTTTCTCTATACGTAGTCAGATTTTACGAGATTGGATGGCCTATTATTAGGTTCCTAGGAGCCATCTACCCAGCTCTTGAATTGAACGGCTCTGGAAATCCCCGTTCTGTTAAAGCTGTTACTTTGCAGCACCATTTGATGCTTTGATTGCTGTTGTCTCTTGAAAATGCTCTTAGCTTTATGTCCGCAGCTTCAGTTATCATCTATGTCCTGAATACTTTTCACATTATTTTTCTCCAGCCCAGTTCTCTCTGAGCTCCAGACCTTTATGTTCAACTGCCTGTTTGACTCTCCACCGGCTCAAAATCTGACTTACAATCTTCCCTCATGTTCTCTGCTCTAGTGGAGTGACACCACCGTCCTTCTGGTTTCTCAAGCAACAAGGAGTTTTTTCTTGATACTTTGCTCTCCGATAATCCCCATCTAAGTCATTATCAGTTCTATCAACTTCATTTTCTTAAATCTCTCTGAAATCATTTATCTCCATTCTACTTCCACCATACTGACCCAAGCTATCATTATCTCTGGCCTATAATACTGTCCACTTTTGTACACTGTACCTGGGATGGTCTTTTCAGAATGCTAATCTGATCATGACACCCTCTCACTGAAATCCCATTGTTTTTAGGATTAAGATCTAAATCTTTAATGGGTTTACAAGGCCTTGCACATTCTGTTTCTCCTCTGCCTTTCCCACCTCATCTTGCACATCTTTACCCCTGGTGCTCTCTGCTCTGAGCATCATTCAGTTCTGTGAACCTGACATGCTCCCTCCTGCCTCAGGACCCATGTGCCTGCTACTCCATGTTTTAGGACTGTGCTGTGCAATACTGCAGTCACTAGCCACCTGTGGCTATTAAAATGGAATAAAATTAAAAATTCAATTCCTCAGTCCCACTATCTCCATTTTAAGTGCTCAAAAGGTACATGTGGCTAGTGGCTACCATATTAGTGAAGATATAGAACACTTCCATCTTTGCATAAAGTTCTATTGGACAATGCTATTCTAGAATATTCTTTACTACCTTCCACACCCTTCCTCCTCTGTGACTACCTCAAGGAAGCCTTCCCTGTCCTCCCCTTTCAGTTCCTAGTAAAGTCAGTTTTCTTTGTATCTTAAGTCCACCAGCCAAAGACTACTGTGAACACATCTGTAGTCAAAGTTACATTTATTTAGCCTGCTTCTGCAAGGGACCCTTAGGGACAACTCAGTAAGAGAGAGTTGGGAGGAGCTCTTGATAGTGTTTGGGCTTGTTCTGGATGAGTCTAAGAAGGGATCATGGAAGTGACAACCAGCTCTGGATTTCATATGTCAAGACGTTGGGGCAGTCTAGAAACTGAGTACCTCGGTCGTCATGGTTCAGGAGATGGGATGAACAAAGCAGGGCTGAGGATATCTGCCAAGAAAGCATCAATCCCGCAGAAGGGGGGATGTTACTCACTTTTGTACCTGTGTTATTGTCTTCTGGGGTTCTGTTGGGAGCATTGCTTATCTTCTGTTGGCCTTGTCTGTGTGCTGTTGGAAGCAGTACATTCTGTTAGAACCATCAAGGCTGATTGTCAGTGGGACTGATTTTTACTTTCTCGGTGGTGATGTGGTCTCCTAGAACTCTGTTGCTCTTCTTAGAGTGCTTGCACACAGTTTGTAAATTTTTAAATTAATGATTATTTGACTAATATTTTTCATCTACTAGATCAGAAGCTTCATGACAGCAGGGACTGCTTCTCTTTTTGTTCACTGTGGTATCCATAGCACCTAGCATGGTGTCTGATGCAAAGTAGATGCTCAGCAAATATTTACTGAAGAGTGGATGAATGAATAAATGAATCATAAGACCTAAAAAATTGGTGGCTGATCAAAGACATGGAATTATTTCGCTATATCTGATTTTACCACTGTTAAGGAATCATTGTCTTTTCGTAGTAGATTCTTCGTAGATGTCTCTTTCCTCCCACCCAAGGAAAAAACTAGAATTCTAATATTCACAATTTAAATATAACATTCTAATATTCCTTGATGTCTAAAGTCCTTTAAGGATAATCTAGAAAATATATGTTTCCATACTTCCTTTACTACCATTTTTCTCAGGCCAAATGATTAAGAAATGTATAGATGCACTGCATCAAATCACAGCAAGGTATGGTGATGTTGGCTGTCTGCCTGCCTTTTGGCATCCTACAAATTATATTAAAATGTTTCCAAACAGTTGTGGAAACTTGGTAATTGTAGTCAGAATGACCTGAGTGTTTTGGTTCTAATTCTTTTTTTTTTGACCAAAATTTTTTATTTGACTAAATTCTCTTTCATGCATAAGCATGACAGTCTCTCCTGTTTATTAGACTTCGGCAACAACAACATAAAAAACAAGCAGCCTTGTACAGAAACAGTGAAAATGCCAAGGGTGAGGGTAGCCTACAGTTTTACTGTAGGATAAATATATATATATATATATTTTAAAGGCCTCTCTCCCTTTGGCCATATCAACAATCATTTAGGGCCATCATAAAGGATTGTGATGTTTTCCAGGTAGAGTATACATTTAATTTTTTTTAATTATAAAGATAATGTAACTGAATTAAGGATAAATGTTTAAACTCAGAAAAAGTAATATCCACGTCAGTAATATGTCAACTATTTTAATTTTTTCATAGTTCTTGTTTCCATGCTCATATTATTGGATTAAGAGTTTTTATTTGTTAGCCCACAGTTGACAGTCTCTTTGAGTCTGAATAGTTGTAGTATATCACATCTTACATCCCCTGGGACATTAGAACCCTAGAATTTATCAGTCCAATATGTTTTAGTAAGCAAGCCTATCCTCAGGCTGCAGAGTGCTGTGGCATGGGCAATGAACTCATTCAAGGCCATGCTTGATTAACAAGGTTAACTGGTTCACCATGTGTTGTTACGGGTTACCACATATTCCTTCAAAGAAGACCTTGGAAATGCATCTTCTCTGTCTTGGAGTCACTTCCTTAAATGCTCTTTTCATCATGCTACCCTCCTACTCCAAAATTTCCTAATTCTTAAATCTATTAAGGGTCAAAGCAAAGTTCACAACAGCCATAAAATCTTTCCAGAATTTTGCTGATCTTCCTTTCCTGGTAATGTTCATTCTGTACTTTTCCAGTCAGGACACCTGAATAAATGAATGGATGAAGGCTTTAACATAGACCTTCATATCTAGTCATTTGCTGTATTCCAGTTTCTTTTGTTGTTGTCATTTTTCGTATGAATTTACTCACCTCCTCAACCAATTTTTATATATTTGAGGCAAAGAAAGTGCCTTATATATTTTCTCTATGTCTCTCGGCACCAGTCAGATGCTGAAGCCCCAGAATATTTCCATTTAATGCCTTGTTGATTGGTTGACTGATTGCAAAAGAAACACAAATCTGTATCTTTGAGTCTCTGTTATGATTAATAAACTAGTTAACAAATATTTGTCAAATGCTCCTGGGCTGCGTTTGGGTAAACTTTGAAGGGCAAACTGTCTTCTCGGATCCACGGAGTTTATAAGACTGTATATAAAGAAAGATCCTATGTATGTACATATAAAGTGTGATGTGAGGGCACACTGCATTCAAGTGATGGTGGTTAGAGATTGTGAAGGAAATTTGGAAAATAGCTGTGAGTAAACCTTTCCTGAGAAGGAAATCTTTGAATTACTTGTCAAAGAATGGAAGTTTATGGCAGAGAAATGAAAGGCAAGACGCTTGTTTCTTAGAAAGAGACACTAGAAAAAAGGCCACAGTGGAAGGTCCAGATCTGTGGGGTCCACCAAGTGCTTTTTCATCAATATTCTATTATATTCACTTTAGGATCAAGAGTTAGGGCTTTTGGTGCATCTACTTTGGAGAAGTTTCTAAAATGTAGCAAAGTGCATCCTACTTGCCCTAAATATACAACAACTGAATGTCTGTGGACCCAAGCCTTTTCACATGTAATACTAAGACTTAGAATTTCCCTCCGCAAAATTACATTTAACACTGTTGTGATAATGAAGATCTTAGAGAAGGGCATTGAATACGTTCAAGTGATTACTATAGAACAGAATTTTTGTTGTTGTTGTTGTTGGAAAAAAAAAAATGTCAGTGTGAACTTCAGTTTCACAATTTTGCCTGAGTATGGAACAGAATTTAATACACATAATAGAGCTCACCACATTCCAGGAACTGTTTGTAGTACTTTATCTCTGCTAATGCATTTAATTATTCTCATCACTATAAGTAGGCATTTTACAGCTGAAGAAAATATGGCACTTGCCTCAGTCTATATAGGCAGCAGGTAAAAGAGCTAGAACTTGACCCTAGAACTTGACTCTAGAAAGTCTTGCTCCAAAAACTATGCCCCCAAACTCTAAATACTGCTTTATGATACGCTACGTGGCTTCTCTGTAATGAGTATTCCGTTAACTCAGAATTTGTGGCTTTTGGAATAAGTGTTGGAGATAAGAAAATGGAAGAGATATATGTTTACATGTTTGAGGAAACAGTTTCCAGTACCTGGAGACAATTTAGGAACACCTGTGGACATGTCAATGTGGACATGTGAATAAAAGCACAAATGGATTTTCTGTTGAATGTAATTCTCAGTGTGCAGGTGGTATGCAAGTTCTATACACAAATGGTAACCATTTTCACTGTAGTTGAAAACATAATACCAAAAAAATGTGTAATTTTCCTTCCTAGAATGAGGATAAAACAGTTTGGATACATTTGTCACTTTTTTTTTTCTGCATAATGGCTCACCTATTTGTTTTAATTTTGATGACTTTTAAATTTTGCAGAAATTTCGGAGTGCTTCAGTTGGGGCTGAGGAGTACATGTATGACCAGACATCAAGGTAGGTTACAGGAGATGCCCCTAGACAGTGATGAACTGATAACTGTTTAAATGTATCGTCAAGTTATACTTTTACACCTTTAAAAGAAAATTCTTTTCTCTACAAAATGACTTCTAAATTACTATTTCCAGTCTTGATCAATTTTCTGAGACCTACCTGTACCCTTCCTTTGTCCTTTTGCTGCTAGACATCCCTTCTTAGGTGTTCCTCTGAACCTCAGACACTTGGGCCTCCAGCACAGCATGTACGTGTCTTTTCCTCTTCTTTCCTTCCTTGTTCACTTCTTTCACATCTGTTCTTCCACTTTTATTTCTTGTTGTGCCTAATGATGCCATCCTCCCAGCCACACACTCCAGAGGTGCAAGGTGCTTGCCTTCCTGCTACACGTTCATGGCATTTGCCAAGTGCCGAATGTCCTATTCTCCCTGTTCTGTCTCTTCCAATTTACTCTTGTGCGTATGCTCCTGAGCTGTTGCAACATAACAGGTTGCCCTGCCAGCACTTTCTTTTCCGAACTTCCGTTCCACTTTGGACATTTCTACCTACTAGCTATCACAGACTTTGGTGCCTTCCATCCTCCAGCAATGAGATAGGGATTGAGGATAAGTTATAACCTGTCCTTAAAAGAGGCCCATAGACTTTTGCTGGAGACTGTGTGATGTCATACAAGTTGCAATACGTTTGCAAAATGACGAGTCCTGCTACAGAGATACATGAATGGACAGCGGAGATGACCTGCAGGCCCGGGTGTGTGTGGGGTGTGAGTGGGATGGGACCAGAGGAAAGCTTTACAAGAAGTAGCATTTGAGCTGGATCTTGATGGATTATCAGGAGTTTTCCAGGGAAAGAAGGAGGATTAAGAACGTTCTAGGTAGAGGGGCCACATGTTCAAAGTCCTCGGTCGTGATCATGCCTGTAGACAGGAGAGAATGGCAAGGATGAATTAATCCATCCCATTTACAAAACTTATCAGTGATTTCACCATTTCAGACAGAATAAGACACAAATTCCTTATGCAGGTAGCTGGGGCCCTCTGTGTGCTGGTCCCTTTTTACTGTGAGCCTTGTCCGCCACTGTGTTTCTTGGCCGTTTGCTTTTACATGTATGGCTGTCTTCTCCTCTCTCTGTTTCTGCTTGAAGCCCTCCTGCCCCTTCAGGGCCTTGCTCCAGCCTCAGGCTCCCCAGTCACCCTCTCCAGATTCTCCCAGCCAGAATTTGGGTGTGCAGTGGTGGTGAAGGGTAGGGGAGAGGCAGAGAAGATAAAGTTCCAAATCACCTTCTAAAACGTGGAAATATATGTATAATTTGCATGCTGTCAATCCAGATAACCATGCAGCCAGCTCTCAGGCCAGTGCAAAGAGCAACGACCTATACCAGTCATGTGACCTGGTGTCTCTTTCTGCTGCTGTCATTGTCTCTAGGGGTGAGCAACTTTCTCAGTCTCTCCTCAGCTGTGAAATGAGGAAAGTGGTTCTTATCTTGTGTTGTGGATGAGCTTGGGGGACATGAATCCCTTGAAATTATATTAAAAATCATTAGTGTTCGTATGTGCTTTTATCTGGGAAGAGGGTTCACAGCTTTCTTCATGCTTTTCAAGCAGTCTGTGCCCTAGACAAGTTGCAAGCTCCTGGTCTAGGTAATTCCTAATATCCTGTCCAGGTCTCAAACTTTATGATTCAGTGGGTTATCTTGAAATTGCTTTTTCTAGGCAAAATGACAGTGGAATTGGTTCTGTCTTGAATGATTTATTTCCCACCTCATTCTAAGACACATATTCTGGAATTTGCTTTGTTTATCAGCTTAAGCCTAAGATTTTTATCATGTAAGAGGAATATTATTTTGCCCTTCAAATTTCTTTCTCATTATAAAAGTTAAAAAAAAAATCAAACATTGCAGAAATACTCAACATAGAAATCAACAGTCCCCCATAATCTTGTAAGTAGATCATTTTAAGAGGCAAACTTGAGTCATTTTTGCACACAGCCTTTCACAGACTGAAATTAAAGAGCTAAAAAAATAGATAGACCCAGTGAAGAGCCTCTGATGATTCTCAGAAAACACACAAAGCACTTGTAATTGGGTCATCACTCTGTGCCATCCTGCAGTGTGACAGAAATAAATATTCTGAATGAGCATATCTTAAAAAGATTGTGATTCATATCCGTTGCTCATTTTAAACAATGGGTATATTCCTCAAAGTTGGGAAAATCAGTGTTTTTATTTTATAAGTTAAATTATATTTGTAAAATATTAGGGAAATTATTAAGAGCAGGGATCTGCAAACTTTTTCTCTGTAATGGGCTAGATACTAAGTATTTTAGGTTTGGCATACTACACAGTCTCTGTCACAGCTACTCAACCCTGCTGTGGCAGCACGAAAGCAACCATAGATAAGACATAAACAAACAAGTGTAGCTGTGTTCCAGTAAAACTTTATTTACAAAAAACAGGCAGCTAGCTGGCTTTGGCCGACAGGCCATTGTTTGCAAGCTCCTGATTTAGAGCAGTAACCCTGTCATGAGTTCTTTTGCAGGCTTAAAAACCAAAACCCCCAAATCAAAAAACACTCCGTGTTATGGAACTAGATTCCATATAGATTTCAATAATGAATGAGTTCTAGATTTTTACACTTTGAACTATTTTAAAGTGGGGCGTAGCTATTTGCAACACCTTGGCTAGGCGAAAGAAAGTTGGTATACGGATGAATTGAACAAAAGCATTCACATATTTGGCTTGTTGCTAGGATGAAAGTGGCAAATTTTAGCGATTCTTAAGTTCAGGCATTACCAAGGACCAACTAAAACCTAACAGAGGCTCCCCCGGCTCCGCCTGGCACAAGTGGACGGGCACATTGTGGACTTTCTCCCCTTCTAAACCATCTGGTTTATGGGCCACTATTAGAAATGTTGTGTGCAATGTACTAACAGTGACCTTTGGTATGGGCTCATCTCTTTTGCCATGTGCTGTGTTTTGTCTATGAAATGGAGTAAACGTTGGTTAATATTCATACAAAATGCTATTGATGTGAAATTGATCAGAAGGCAGAAATGTCCAAGTGAATGAATCTGACCGCTATTTGTTTTCTGTTCACAGTGGCACATTTCAATACACCCTGGAAGCCACCAAATCTCTCCGTCAGAAGCAGGGGGAGGGCCCCATGACCTACCTCAACAAGGGACAGTTCTATGCCATCACGCTCAGCGAGACGGGGGACAACAAGTGCTTCCGACACCCTATCAGCAAAGTCAGGGTAAGGGCCTCATTTCTCCAGTAAAGCACAGAGGGATCAGGTGAAAGCAGGTGCTACCTGCCAGCCTTGTGGAAGGGCATGGAAAAAATCCCCAAATAAATAATTCTAGAACAAATGTCAGAGAGCTGGGGCAAGAGAACTTATTGGCTTGCAGTTTATCATTTTAATCAGTAACTAATAAACCCCAGGGAAGGGACGTGGTTGGAACATGCTTTCTGACTGTATCCAAGGAATTTCCCCAGCTTCATTCATTGCCTATGTGCTACCTAGTTGTTGTCATCGTTGTTTTCAATCAGATGATGTGCAGTTTTCAGGTAAGCAGCTGTAAGTCAGAGCGTATGTGTGGGTAGGAAAGAGCTGGGCTTTCTTCTGAAAAGGAGGGTGCAATTCATTCTGCGTCCCTGGGTCCTCTGCAGCTTTGCTTAAAAGCCTTCTGCAGCCTGGCGCTTACTCAGGAGTCAAGAGGTGGGCATGATATGATCCCTACCAGGAGTGACTTGGAGGAATTTTCACATTCACGAGTTATTAGTTCTATTTGTGGGACATGAAACTGCCTTGGAAGCCTGCCAGCTTCTGGCATTCTCGCTACTGCCAAGAAGGGAGGGAACTGGTAATCCCTGTCGACCGAAAAGGAAAATTATAGCAGAGCTCTCAAAAGAGGTTGCAGGAGTTTCCTGCCCTGTTGCAAAATGATTTATGCTGCAGTGTGCGTGGTGTGCACCCCACCTTCTTTTATCCAGAGCTGCCTCCTCCTAAGCTCTTCTGCATACTGAGAAAGGAACGCCGTGCTGTGCCGAGCCCAGTGAGTTTACCCCAACCCAGATTCCCAGGCAAAGGTAACCCCTGAGGTAGAAGAGAAAAGAGTGTCCAGGCACCTCCTGGCCGGTTTGCCTGTTACTAGCTTTTAGGTAAAATCATTGCAGTGCTGCTTTCTTGAATCAACCCAGTTTTACGGCTTTGTTTCCATGAGAAAGACAAGGAAGAATTGCTGCTCATTTGTCCGGCAGGACTTTCTCCCTCCAAGGCCATCCCAGTTCCAGATTGGAGTGACGGGAGGCAGGAGGCAGGGCAGTTGAGGGTGAGGGGAAAGACAGGGAGAATGTGGGGCTAACGACCCACCTGAGGCTGAACCTGTGGCAGGTGGAAAAGTGCTTAGTGTGCCCTCCAGAGGAGTTAGTATGTATGTTCCAACCCTGAGGTCAAGGCTATGGTGGAGGTATGCCGTCAGCCGCAGCAGCATCATCGTCATCATCAATCATCATCATCATCCCCATCATCACAGCAATGAGAGCCACAATATAACAGCTAGTTTTTATTGAGTGTATCTTCTACGTGCTGGACACTGTGTTAAGCACTGTACATCTAGTAACTTGTTGAAACTAGCAACAGCCCTATGAAATAGGCATTCCTTTTACAGATGAAGAAACTTGGCCTTTTAGAAGCTAGCAACTGACCAAGGTTACATAGCTCAAATGGGAGGGAACTGGGTTATATCCCAAGCAGTCAGACCCCTGAACCTACTCTCTTAACCACTAAGTGTACTGTGTTGAGTAGCATGGAGGCCTGAAAGGCAGACGGATTTTAGCATGGGATCCACCTCTGGAAATATATCCTAGAATTTGTATCCTAAACCCTCACATGTGGATGCCTGGTAAGAATACACTGGATACATATTCTTTAAAAAAGAAAATCTTGTAAATTACAAGTGTATAACTCATGTACACACCTTGGTAACAACACTGTTATCATCACCCTGAAAAGATAACGCATGGTTAGTAATCTGAGGCCACGACAACAGTTTGTAGTGCAGGGACTTTTCCAAGAATTTTCTTTCATTGAAATCATGGAAATAATTTAATATAGAAATTTTATTTCCTTCTGTTGCATTTTGCCTAAAACCAAGAGCCTTCCTTCTCTTAAGGACTTCAGTCTAGAGCCTTGGAGAGTAGGATGGCCCTTCTCAGATGGATCTTTCTTACTCCTAGGCTCTGTTAGAGCCAGCAGTGTGGAGAAATGAGGGATACACTTGGAACCTCCTAGTGCTGATTTCTCAGAACAGCGTTGCATCCCCAGTCGAAGCTTAGCCGTGGTAATAGCAGTTTCAAACGGCCTTTTTCCTTACCACTGGAAAAATACATTTCCATCCCAAGAATATGCCATTTTAGTCATGTGCTAGAAAAAAATTACCTGAAATGTTATTTTTATTTTGGAACAGACAGAAAAAAACACCAGGAGGCTGGGCAGTAAAGTCTTACATATAAATGGAAAAGCCTGGGGAAGGGGGAGGGAGGACGGAGAGAGGCTGAGCCCAGAGTTCCACCAGCCCAGCCAGTGGATCCCTTTCTTGCCAGCTCTCCTACATGCCTTTGAGGGTCAAGCCGCTTGTGAGTGCAAATAGTATGGATGCATATTTCTAAACTAGCTTTTCTAACAAACATCTGCTTTCTTGTGTAACAAATGTTTACATACCACTGGGAATAAGCTAGATTTTGACTTGACAGTTCAGTCACAAACATGTATTTGGTATCTCTTATTTGTCGCGCACCAGGGCCCCCGTGGTGAATGACACTGTCCCAGCCCTCACTGAGATAGGCATCAGTGGGAAGACATTGCCATGGACTGAATAATTGTAAATAATTAGGTAGATGACTACAAGTATGTGAAATGCTACAAAGGAGAAGTTATTAAAGAATGGGAGTCACTGAAACATTCTTCTGGAATAGCAGAAAAATGTCTAAGAAGTATTTTGCATATGGAATGAGGGGGTGGGTATATTCCTGGATACGGTATTCCTCACGCTGTAATTAAAGGGTTTTTGCTTTTTGTTGTTTTGGTTTGTTTATTTGTTTGTTTTTGGCACTTCCTCCATCTCATAAATGACAATGAATTAACATATTTAGTTGAACAAGGCTGTAGCTTAGAAGTGAAAGCAGTTTGGGATTCTTATTTCTACAAGACATTATTAGTTTCTCATGCTCATTTTAAAAGTACATCCACATATTTTTATAAATAACATAGTTGACCTTGTAGCTTTTGGTCTATGAAATACCTGTAGCTTAGATCTTCGTTCATCAATATGAGCTCATCTTTTAGTATTTCTCTCATTATTCCCACTAATCCAGCCAGAGGCACTTAATTAGGCCAGAAACAGATGTTTGCTCCTTTACAAAAGCACCAAATTCTATGTTTAAGGATATGAAATTTCAAAAATGTTCTTGTTTCCAATACAAGAAAAAAGTCTTTTTTGGTATGCCCACTCAGCTCACACAGTAATACATTTGCTGGTAAATTGGATAATCTGTTTGTTTATGATTCATGGTAAAAATGATGTAGAATTCTTTTTCACTAATGTGCTGTTCTCATTTCCCATTCATTTCTTTAAAGTAGGCCCATTTTCAAATGAGACAAACCATACGCCTTAGCTTATTGGGCTTTTCTAAAGCAAGAAAAGCAAATTTACAGAAATTACAGCAACCCACCTCTGATAGAACTTCTAGAGCTGGAGAGTGTGTGAAGCAGGAGGTGCTGAACAGAAAGTAAGCTCCGTGGTTCTCCCCCTCTGCAGAGCGTGGTAATGGTGGTCTTCAGTGAAGACAAAAACCGGGACGAGCAGCTGAAATACTGGAAGTACTGGCACTCTCGACAGCACACGGCCAAGCAGAGGGTCCTCGACATCGGTAAGTTGACCTTGACCTCCCGGCACGGTCTTTGGTAAACTGCCATGTTGTCATGATGCAAAGGAGAGCCCAGCCCAGAAATCACAGCTGGGACCCACATCACTCTCATGATGTGCCAGGCACTAGTCTGTGCACTTTTCCCATGTTTTAGTACATTTAGTACAAATCAGGCTGAGAAGTCAAAATCAGGCTAAGCTGAGAGCAAAACACTTTTCGTTCCATAGAATTCAACTGTGTCTCCTATAATAATAGATTTAGATTTGCAACGGCCGTGCCAGTTTCTAAAATATATTTCCACGCCCTCTTGTGTTTGAGCCTAATAATTGGCAGGCAGGCCACAGGAACTGTTATCCCCCTGTGACGCGAATAACCTCAGCTCATTTGGTTCTAAGGTACTTGTGGAGGTCACATGACTGGATACAGCATTCTCGTTCTCTAATTCTCCATCCCATGTTCCTTCCGTCCAAATACATGTCTAGTGCAAACAGTCCTACGTGATCAGACAAATGCAATGTTTGAGAGAGCTTTCCTGGCAGCAGAGAAGGAATGGACCTGCCAAGTGCATTTTCTGGAACCTGTACATTCCTACACATGATGTCTGTTCTTCAGAGACCTAGAGCCCTCTGGACAAGACTCTGAGTCCCGTCAGGAAAGCAGAGCCCACACCAGGTGGTTCCATGGAGAGAATTCATTGCCAGAGTTGGGAGGACTGAAGGCACCGTGAGGCAGTGCAGACAGGAGCAACAGCACGAGTCTGCTGCTCTTAGCTGGAGGGCCAGAGGATCAAAGGGAGAGGTGCTGGGTGTTGTGAGAGCTGCCCAGCAGGAACAGGCACCAGCTGGAGCTGGGACCACAGAGGGAGCAGCTTTCCAAGAGCAGGCAGAACCTCAGAGGAATCGCTGCCAGAGACACCCCTCAGTGCCCAGAGGGTGGGGGGAGAGGGGCTGCCCTGGCTTTGCCCTGCCTCCCAGTCTCCCCCAGTGCTTCCCGGTGGCCACATTACCCTGAAGCAGAGGGCACGTGACCCTGGCACATGCACTATGCAGGAATCAACCTGAGACACAGAGCAAAGCAGGGGAAGTCAGGGACTGCATCTCAAGGTACCTAGAAATTACTTAAAAACGCAGTAATACAGTAAGTCCCCTACCAACGAACGAGGTCCCTTTAAGAGCGTCTTTGCAAGTCCAGTTTGTTCGTAAGTCCACCAGAGTTAGCCTAGGTACCCAACTAGCACAATTGGCTATATAGTACAGTACTGTAATAGGTTTATAATACTTTTCACACAAATAATACATAAAAACAAACACAAAAAAATGAAGAAAACATTTCTAATCTTTCAGTACAGTACCTTGAAAAGTACAGCAGTACAGTACAACAGCTGGCCTACGGGTGCTGGCATCGAGTGAACAGGCGAGAAGAGTTACTGACTGGAGGAGGGAGAGGAGGTGGGAGATGGTGGCTGAAGGAGCCCTACCAACGAACGAGGTCCCTTTAAGAGCGTCTTTGCAAGTCCAGTTTGTTCGTAAGTCCACCAGAGTTAGCCTAGGTACCCAACTAGCACAATTGGCTATATAGTACAGTACTGTAATAGGTTTATAATACTTTTCACACAAATAATACATAAAAACAAACACAAAAAAATGAAGAAAACATTTCTAATCTTTCAGTACAGTACCTTGAAAAGTACAGCAGTACAGTACAACAGCTGGCCTACGGGTGCTGGCATCGAGTGAACAGGCGAGAAGAGTTACTGACTGGAGGAGGGAGAGGAGGTGGGAGATGGTGGAGCTGAAGGAGCCTCAGCAGTAGGAGACGGAGGGCAAGCTGCAATTTCACTCACGCCTGACGCTGATGGCACAGGTTCTGCTTCCTTGCTGGATTCAATTCTATCTACCCTCTTGAAAAAACGATCCAGTGATACTGTACTACTGAACTCTGTACAGCACTGTACAGTAAAGTACACAAAAGCACCACCACTTGTAGAGGGTGCACGCAGGTGACGACGTACACCAGACACATGAGCTAACTTACGTGACTGGACACGTGAACACGGGTTCGAATCTTTGAAAGTTCACAAATTGAAGGCAGGGGACTTAATGTATATGTGTTTGTAAATAATTTTAACACTTTATCTACATGCTGCTTCCATAAGAAATAAATCATTTCTCATTTATAGGCTTTATTTTCACATTTTGCAGACCAACAGCGTACAGCCCCAGTGAGGATAGGCCAAGCGAAGGTTTCCACTGTGTTGGATACCAGAGGTGTTAATGAGCCATTAAAAGGATGTTTACTTTGATTTCTTTCGCATTGTAATGAAGGATTTTTCAGACCTTCCATCTCACACTCGCTAGGGCCCCTTGACCAATGGCAGAGAAGTTAGTAACTAGGTTAGGGTTAGAGACTCACTGTAGAGCATATTGAAACTAACTTGCTGGTTTTTCTTGCAAAATGGCTACACCACTCCTCCCCCTCCCCCCCTGCCACACATACACATTTGTAAACTCGTCAAGCTTATTTATCTAATGAACTAGGAAGCTGAGGTCTAGAGAGGCTCACTGACCCACCTTTCCAAGTGACTTGTCCTCAGATAATTAGGGCAGGAATTAGTGCAAGAGCTGGGATAAAAACAATCTTCCTCACCCAGGTCATACCCTGAACCCCCAAAACTGACTGACTCGGACGAGGATTTGGGGATACTTGCCATAACCTGCTTTGCAGCCAGTCTGCACAGAGCAGAGGAACAATTTTATTTTATTTGAAAAGTTTAGCCTTATAATTATTGCCCAAGAAAATGAGAGGAGCAGTTAAATAGAAATATGGACTAGGTCCAAATAAGGCAAATAATAAAAGCATTTTCCTGGCATACCTATTGGTTTAAATTTGATGTCGTTACAAGGTTTACTTTTCTTAGACCAGAATGATCTCTCAGGTCTCATACGATTTCAGAACTTACCTCTTTTCTTTATCACCTCTTGCCTGCCTTTTCTCCCTCATGTAACCCTTTACACATGCGTGTGTGCACACATGTACACACACGATTCATCATTGAGGTGTGTGACTCTTACTAAGTAGCTTCATGGCTACTTGGGCTACGTGCTCTGAATCTGAGATCAAGACACTGAATCAGCCCCTTAGCTTCAAATGGAAAGTCAATTTTCAGACCACAGTCTCTACCCCTAATCTCAACCTGACAGAATTAGGAAATATGCAAAAAATCTCATCTAATTGCTTCTTGTACTAGATTTAAAAAAAAAAAAACCAAGCCCTTTGTTCCTCTGCCAGTGGGTGGTTAGCACCATTTCCTATAGAATGGGGAAGCTGACGCTGCCACAGCACATATGTCTGTGTGTGGTGTGCCGTCACCGGTAGTAACTGTGCAGGGCAGTGTAGAGAATGTTCGTGTGGCTGCACCTTGGCTGCTGAGGGGGTAGGGAGGCCCAAGAGTGTGTATGCTCTCCCGTTGTCATTTTGGGTTGAGAACCTTCTAGTAGCCTGCAAAAGAAAAGGAAGAATCCAAAATTATGTAATGTGTTATCTTTCTTCACCTCCATGAACTGGAGGTTAAAGTCAGGGCTCCAAAGTTGCAGTTCCCATGCCTCCACCAGACACTGTGTTCAGCAAGTTCAACTGAGCCCGGCAGGTAGTGAACTTGAAGCTCATGTTAGAGACTGAGATGAGGCCCCTTTTGCTAAAAAAAGCATTCATAACCTTGGTCCTTGGGGTCTGTGGGTGTGGGCTATAGGGGGACCTCAAACTCCTCAAATTACGCGTAACACAATTTTGTGTGTATGGGTGTGCGCATCCTTTCCTCTCCTTTCCGGGGGTGCCTGGGACAACCAGCCTGTCCCCGGCACGCGGCCTCCCTCCCTCCATTCCAGGAGAAGCCTGATGGAGCTCTTGCCTCTCTTTGTGTCTTTCCTACTTCAACTTCCCCTCAGCGCCCACACTCAAGGATTCTCCTGTCATCTCTTACACCCTGAAATAATCATGCGTGGAGAACATTCTGCATCTTTCCTGACATAAGTCTGTCTCCCTTGGATAAGACTGTTGGCTGTTCTTTGTGGCTACTCTTCATCTCCCACATACTCTGGATGCTCTGAGTAGCCCCTGTGTGCTGGCTGCCTGGCGGGAGAGGACCCTCAGCGTCCCCGATGGAGCCCTGTCTGTGGATCCATGGAAAGGAGAGTGAGAGCCTGAGGGCCAGGGAAGGAGGCTGCCCCTCAGAACACGTGGCGCCTCAGCTCCCAGCTTCCTGTGTGCTGAGTGGAGTTCCCGGTGAGGCCATCCCTGCCTCACACCAGTCACATCCCTCCTTGGGTGGATACTCCCATGATGCCCAGCTTGTTCCCTCACTTCTTGGAGGCCTTTTTGCCTGTTGTCACCTTATCAGAGAGACCTTCCCTATCACCTTACCCAAAGTCACACCCTCATCACTCTCGAGCTCCCTTAACTTTAGTTTACTGCAGAGTGCTTGTTATCACCTAACATGTTATTATGAATATATGTTTCTATTTCTTATTGTGTGCCCCCTCCTACTAGAATAAGCCTGTAAGAGCAGGCACTTGTCTCATTTGTTCTCTGCTCCGGCCCCAATGCTTAGCACAGAGCCCAAGTCATCGTGAGTGTTCAATAAATATTTCCTGAAGGAATGAATGAGTGAATGAATGAATGAACAAATGTATGGATGAAACTCTTATTACAGTGACAGGAGGCAGGCTTTTGAAGGAGTGAACTGTGTCTTAATAAAAGCTCCCATGTGTCTGTTGCCTTCCTTGTACTGGGCTCTTTCTGTGCATCAGACATAAACATTTGGTCCTTCCTCCTGAGAACAACTTACTTTGTTGTTTAAAAACTGAGATGGTGAGGGGCTAAGAATTTTACCCAAGGTCAAATCCCTGGTCAGTGAAGATGGAAACTGCTGGAGTCTGCATCCCTTGTTTTATTTTTTATTATTCTATGTCTTTACTCCACTGTCTATCGTCTTTGTATCCTGACCT